ATTACTCACCTCCCACAGCATCCTGTGCTTTCAGGGGTGCACAAGCCCTGGCTGACTTCTGGCCAGACAGATGCGCCTCCCTCGCACCTGGCGCTGTCTGGGGAGCGCACCCCAGCCCTGCAGCAGTGCTGGGATCCAGGTGCAGTTGCCACCAGTGGGATGGGATGGATCAGGGAACTGAGGGCTGCCTTGTGATTTCGGGCCTCCCCTGCCACAGCCACTTCCCTGGGATGTCACGCAGCCTAGGAGAACTCCTGCCTGCCCATCCTGTCCTGTGGCAGGGGGGGGGTTCCTGGCAGGGGGCCACTCAGCCTTTTTTTGATCTGGGCCTCTCTGTTTGTTTGTTTTGAGTTTGCTGCTTGAGGGCCTGGAATTTAATTTTGCAGTGAGCAGGGCTAATCGCATGCAGATTGCCCAGCTCAAAGGGAGACGGTTCAAAGCGCTTCAGCGAGTGTGCGCTGGATTGGAGCCACTGATGAGGACCTCGCTTCTCTCCCAAAAGTGTCTTGCTGTGGAAACTACAATATTTTTATTTTTTCTTTTTAAAGGCGCCATCTACTAGCATGAGATCTTGTGTTGGAATAGGCAGCACTTGGGATTTGGATTAAGAAATGTTTGTCTCTGGCTGCAGACTCTCAGTTAATCATGCAGACCTGCCATCGTGGGTACCCAGTGCTGCCAACAAGGGATCCTCCTTTCTTTCAGCCTGTTTCGCTTTGGGGCCAGGGTTGCAGGTGGCAGGTGCTGTGTGAGCCTGCCCAAAACAGGGCATGTGCTCTGTCTCTGCTAGCAGACTCAAGCTTTGCATCAATGTAGCTGATGTCTGTAAGCAGAACTTTGCAACCGTAGACCAGCCAAAGAAAACATACCCTGGTCTTTCCAAAGGCTTGAGTTTTTTGTTGTTGTTGTTTTTTCCCTCTCTGGGATATTTCTAGCCAGACCCAAGGATGTTTAGTTTTTTAAACACTCACGGGGAAGCAGGCAGCGAGAGGAAACAGCTATCAGCTGGTTTACAAGGAGACAGAGATGGCCATTTGGTCAGTGGGTCACATGCAAGGACAGCATGTTGTTTAGGAGGATCCAACTGGGAAGGGGGCAGTGGGGCTGTCCCCTTCCCAGTCCTGTTCCCCTCCCAGCCACCACTGGGCTGAGCCCCAATTTGAGCCGGGCTTGTGCTGCCTGTATTGATGCTGGCGCAGCTCTGAAGTTGAGCTGCTTTAAATAGGAAACACATGCTTTGCTGAGCTGCAGGGTGCAGCTACCTGTCTGCTCTGGAGCTGCCACGTAGCTCTCCGGGCTGGAGCAACCCCTGTCCCACAGCCTGGGATGGGGCAACTTGCCCCTGCATTTTCTGGGGTGGAGCTGGTTTTGCTTTCCCAGCCAAGGCAGACTTGGTGCAGTGAACAGGCCCTTCCCTTTTCTGCTGGGCCCCTGCAATGAGCGATATCTGTTGTGCTTGGGTTTTTTGTTGGATTGGGGGTTTTTTGGCCTCTTTTTTTTTTTTTTTTTTTTTTTTTTTTTTTTTTTTTTTGTTTTTTTGTTCTTTTTTTTTGCGAGTTCTGCTTCTCTTTTCCAGCTTTCCTTTCCTTTTGCATGGTTTGTCTGAGCATAGCAGTGCGGGTGTGCACGTGGCTCAGTGGCTGGAGAGCAGTGCCCGGCTCTCAGCCAGGGTCATGGAAACATTCTGTTCTGCTCTATTTGGGAAGAGATTTTTTCCAACTTTGGTGCTACACATTTTTTCTTTCCTTCTGACTAAATCAAATATCTGAGGTTTGCACCTGGCTTAAGGCATGCAGGTGAATTTCATCATTTTTCCCAGTGAAGCACTGCGGAGTGAATCCAATCTACTGGATCAGCTCTCCAAAACTGCCCATGAGCTCAGCTGCCCTCCTTCCCATCACCTTCTGCTGGGGCTGCACCTCCCTCCTGGAGAAGGGGTTCCCCCCATACCCCATCCCACCTGAATCCCCTGGGATGCTCTCCATGGCTGCTGCCTATGTTGCATCACCTGCCAGAGTGTGGCACCATCCCATTTGCAGCCCCCGTGGGCATGCAAGAGCACAAGTCTGGCCCTGCAGCACATTGCTGCTTGAGTTTTTCCCAACACTTCTCGTATCTGTGGTCCAGAGAGGCTGGAGCAGCCTCTAGATTGATCATAGCATCACACCAAGTCGATTTTGGTTGGGTTTTTTGTGCAACAGTTTTCTTTTTCGGGTCAGCAGGATGAGCACCAGGGTGTACCTCTGCTGTCAAGAGGTTTACCTGTTGTAGAAGGCACGACTATTGGGAAGTAGGGGACAAGAAGATCACCAGGGTGTGAGAAGATCAGTGGGGCTGTGGGCCAGGGTCATCAAGTTTGAGTGCTGTGCTGCCTCGGGCTTTTTGCAAGCCTAACCTTTTGCTTCATTCGAGAAGGCGCTTCCTGTTTATGTGCCCTGTGACAGCTCCCCTGTATCCTTCCCTTTCAGCAGAAACGCTTCTGAGCGGGCTGGCTTTCTATGTGAGTGGGGGTCTCACTCTTGCCCTAGCACTGCCAGCTAAAAGCATCCTTTTGCAATCTCTGAAGTGTTTGGATGTGATGCTATGCTTTTGTATCTTTTGCAAGCTTCCAGCAGTTGCTTATTCATGTTTTCAAGGTTTTCTCTTGCTAAAAATGCATGGTGGAGGCTCGTGAAGCCTCTCTGTTAGAGCTTTGTAACTCTGAAAACAAAAGGTGTCTGCCTACAAATCCTAGGCTTTATGGGTGACTGGAGCTGCAAGTCCACATGGCTCTGTCATGCTTGTCTGTTTTTAGCAGGAGCTCAGTATACAGTGGCTCTTATGTCAGGCAGTCACCTTGAACAAAAGCAGAAAAGACTGAGATGGAGTGAATCGGACTGGAAAGTTTATCTAGTAAACATGGATTGGGATACAGTTCTGGCTGGTGGGACAGCACTTAGAGCGAACTTCCCACTCTTTCTTGGCATGGTCAGATTGTGTCCTGAATCAGCATCTTTGGGAAACAACAGCCTCGGGGCTGCTTGCTATCCAGGTAGTCAAATTTCTGTCAAAGTGATTTAAAATAAGCCACTGGAACTGTGACTCTGGCCACGGATTGGAAAACCTGCGTTTGTGGATTTGGCTTGAGCCTCATCCCGCTTGGGAAGCAAACGGAAGGCATCCATTTGCAGCTGGTAGTGTGTTGCTGTTGCGTTTGTCAGCCGTGTGGCTTTACAAAGTTTAGATTGTTTTAGCCATTCTGTATTTGAAAACAGCCTGTTCAGGTTTTTTAAGTTTTCTTGTTCTTCCTGATGCCAGTGAGTGCATTAAGCAGGTGATTTGGGTCAAGCCTGTCTCAGAAGCGGCTGCCTTGCTGTGTATACATGGTGCCTGTTCCTCAGGTCTCCTCACTGACCAGCATATTGGCTGCATCCTTCAGGACAGTATTTACAGGAAGGCGTTCTGCCTCTAAAACTGGTTTAATTCACTGGAGGGTTGGAAAAATGCAGAAAATTTTTCACCAGTGTTCTTCAAGACTCTGGAACTGTTAAATCTCTGTCCTCTGCAGCTATTTTTTACCATTAACATCTTTTCCTCTTCCATGATTTCCTTGCTGCCTCCTGAAGGCACACAAGAGCAAAAACTGGTGAGATAAGAGGTCTGTGTTTGGCCTGGGGGGCTGGTGGGTGCCTGATTACAGAAAGCCCTACCTGCAGTGACTAGAAGCCTGTGGCTAAAAGGGGCAGCAGGAGCTCACAAGCCAGCAGCGGGAGGTTTCCCCTGTAAATTCGCCTAAATGGCAAACTTTTGTTTCCTCCCCGCTTAAAGCTGCACGGGCGATTGCGAGACATTAAAAGAGCTTTTGTTCATTAAACCAGTAAGTATCTGTGGGGCTGATGGGGCTTGCAGTTGTTTCTTGGGAGCAGGGGAGCATATCCCGCCCTGCAGGAAGAGGGCTGCTCTGTGGGCTGGCAGCCGGGTGCCTTGGAGGGGGCCGGGCTGGCAGGGCCCCACGGCGGGATGTGCTGCTTCTGCCTCGCTGCTTCCTGCGGCGTCCTGGTGGGTTGGTCTCACTGCTGGCAGTGGGTGTGAGCAAGGCAGGAAAAAGACATCCCTGCGTACAGATTCCCAATATAATCCCACTCGCTGGCCAGGACCAGTTAGGTAAACCATGCCCAGGGCAATGCCTTTTGCTGTTTTAAATGCACAGAAGTGCAGGGTGGTCCTAAGTGTGAGTGCTGGTCTCCTAACGGAGGTAATGCTGGATGGCAGAGGGATTGGCAAGGGGAAGCAGTCATGGAGGTGGGTCAAGGCCAGAGGCCATTCTGGGCGAGCGCTCATCACCACTGGAGGAAACTATGTGCTCTCTCCCCTTTCTGCCCCTGCTGGCCTTGCTGCTCCTGTGCCTGTCCCACCAGCATGGGGCTGGCTGTGCCTGGCCCAGTCCTGCCACTGCTGAGCCCTGGTCCCAGCCATGTGGCTCTGTGTTCCTTCCTGCCTCAATTCCTCCCATTCTTGCCTCTTCCTCCTGCTGCAAAGCACCTTTCCCAGCTCTGCCTGCAGCTGCTTTTCATCCAGGGAGACTTTGGCTCCTGCTGTGGAGGCATCTGCAGGACCTGGCTTGTGCCATGGGGCAACATGGAAGGCATGTTGTGGCTGCAGCTGGGAACTTCGTGTGTGCTGAGAGCATGGGAAGACTGATCGCAGTGCCTGCGGTCTGAGAAATTGCTGCCTTCTTGTGTGAGAGGGAAATGTGCAAACGTGCCCATTTAACCTGTGCAAAATGCAGAGATCAGGAGATCCCTTTGCATCCTGCCTGTCCTGCTGGTTTCTGGAAGTTCCTCCCTTGGCTATGTAGGTAGTGAATCGGGCAGACAAGGTTCCTTGCTGCCTTCGGGGGTGCACGGAGCACCTCTGCCTGTGTGGCCTGGTCTCCTTGCCACCTCCAACCTGAGCAAGCATCAGTTTGTGGAACAGCATGATTGAACTGAAGTAGCTTCTTCTACAGAAATAGCCAGGGAATGAGCCCTGAGCCTGCAACACTGTTTCTACTTTTTTAAATAGTCACATAGTGGCGGATGCACAAGGTTAATTGTGACTGTCGCTGCCTTTTATAGCTCTAAAAATCACCTGTGCCCCCTTCCCCTGGGGCTCCAGAACTCCATCACTGGCATGGGGACACAGGAGTGTGCATGCCTTTGGAGGGGCCTGGGGATCTCTCCAGGACACACAAAAAGGCAACAGTAGCTCTAATATGTGTGTGAGCATGGGGAAGCACATCTGTGCATGTGTTCACAAGCAGATACAGTAGCCGACTCTTTAAAAAGCAGTGATCCCCGACCTAGTGCTTATACTGAATGGGGTCCTCAGCAATCCCACCTGCTGCAGAGGTTTTACTGGCAGCTGAACATGCACACAAAGGCCAGTTTATTAGCTTGACATTACTGGGAGCAGGATGTAGCAGCAGGAGGGGCAGGTCCTTCTGTGAGCAGCTACCGCACGCTTTAGGTTTTTGCAGGAAGTCTGTTCCTCAGGGATGGAGCAGCTGGAAACAAATGCTGCAGAAGGGCTCAGCCTGGCTGTTAAGAGAGGGCATCCACGAAGGCTGGGGTCAGGGATGCTGTGTTTAGCCCTGCACCCACATACAGATGTTGGGAGGGGCTCCCTGAGAGCCAGCAGAGCAGAGCAGCCCCAGGAAGCAGAGGGCACTGGTGCAGATACGTGAGCCCAGGTCTTTCAGAGCAGGTCTCATCAACAGTGTAAGTGCCCAGAACTGTTACTGCTATCTCTCCCTGTGCTTGGCCTTGAGCAATTCAAAGGCTGCTGTCCTCTCTGTAGTGCCAGCAGGGCTTCTCAGTTTTACACCAGTTTTGGCACGGATATTTTGGCGGTTTCAAAACCTGCTGCTGTTGAAACCGTGTGCAGGAATTGCCAACTTGCATGCAAATCTGGATATGTTTTTTTAGCAGTTCTAGTACAGGACTTCTAATAAAAAACGGGCATGTGTAAAGAACACTGAAAGTATCTGTAAGAAAAGAAAAAAGAAAAACAAGAAAGGAGGTTTTGTTCACTTTGCATGTGGCTAGCCTTGGCATAAGTAATTACGTTGGTAGGAGAGCAGGACTATTTTTGAAGTGCTTGACTCTCACGCTGTGCAAGGTGGGTGAGAGTACAGAAGGCAAGACTCTTCTCCAGGCTGGTTTTGTGGTGCACGTGCCACTGGGAGCGTAGCTGTTGGTTTGCCATGCAGATGGGAGGATTGTCAAACCTGGTTTAGCATCAGCGACTTGTTTGAGGTCAGATACCAAGAGGCTGCTGTGTTTGCAGTGAAAGGTGGTGTGTGGTTGCTCTGGGGACAGCTGGTCCAAGCTTCAACATCTCCGTGTGCCCCTGGGATTTATTTATTTTTAATCCAAACCTCTGTTTTCAAAACAAAACCAAACCCAAACGTGTAAAGGATGTGTGCTCAGAGGAATAGTTTGTGTGTGTGCTAACTCACTTCGTGCTGTGCCTCTCTTGCAGTTGGTGCACTACGTGTGGATTTTTCCCAGCCTGTGAACCTGGACGAAGTGGCAAGAATAAACCCAGAGGTCAAAGCAGGAGGTCGTTCTGCTCCAAAGGACTGTATAGCACTTCAGAAAGTAGCAGTAATCATACCATTCAGGAACAGAGAGGAGCACCTGAAGTACTGGCTCTATTACCTGCACCCTATTCTCCAAAGGCAGCAACTAGATTATGGAGTATATGTTATCAACCAGGTAAGATGCAGGGTTTTACAACACTCTCATAACAGTGCCCATGATCCCTGAAACCGAGGAGGGGTTGTTCTATCCTGAAGGGCAATGGGCTAGCAAGCAGGGATTAGGTTACTTTAAAGAAAAAAAAAAAGAAAAGGTGTAGCAACCCCCCAAAAGAAAAAGTGAAAATGAACATGAACAATTTTGCCACTGTGGTTTTTATGGAAAGCCTGGGGTCCCCTCTTCCAGTCAGGCGTGATTCCTTCTAAAGGGCTGTTGCTTAAAGAAGCCACCTGGCAAACAGGGAAAAAATCCAATCTAATTCCTCTTTCCAACTGTCCCTTTTTACCAACTGCTGCAGGAGTTGCACAGAGAGATCTTTAAAGTGACAAGGTAGCTTTAATGAGTAATCTGGCATTGGGTGTACCACAAGGCTGTAGGATTTCACTTTCTTGAGCAACTTCTGTTCATGTTACTAATAGAGCACAGAATGTAAGGATGGAAAAAGCAAAGCCGTGGCTGTGGAGCAGACAAGTGATTGACTTCAGGTGGATAGAATAGAAAAGAAACAAGTAGTGACAAAGGTTTTCTTGTATTTTTTTCTTGATATCTGACGGCCTTAGACCTGTCTTTAAAAAAAAAAAAAAAAGGGGGAGGGAAGGAACACATCTTTATGGTCTTAATTTATACCATAATGGTGGTTAAATAAGTGGATGCTGGTCACACTTGGGAAAGTTTAAAATGTGTAGGCATTTGTATGGGTTGCAGTGTGAAAGGGCAGGTGCAGTTCTGAGAGACCCAGCAGAGACCACTGGCGGGACAATCTCACAGTGCAGTGTCTCTCTTGGGTATGCGTTTCTGTCGGGTTTTCTCAGCTCTGTAAGAACAGAGATGAAATAACTTGCTGCTTTATGTGTAGCCCTCTAAATTTGCGGTTCTGCTGATGTGTATCAAACACTGCGAATGTTTAAAATGGTTGCCCAAGCAGTACATTTCCTCACAGAATTGAAAGTCAGGGGAAACAGTTTTCTAGAGCGAAAAGCAATGCATTGTTAATACTATTTCCTTATTTTGCTTGTTTCCGGGGTGCCAGAAATCTGTGTAAAAGTGATTTGTGGGGAATTAGCAGCAGCTCCCAAGCACAGCAGCCGAGATGCTCCAGGTTCTGTGGCCTTGTAGCCTGGTGGCCAAGTTGCTCAGGGCTGAAGGTGCTCCTGCAGCACGTGAACTGGGATGTTGTGCCCCAAAGTTAAGCCCTGTGAGGAGACCCTTCCTGTGTGATGCAGAGAGCAGCTGACGCCGCTGTGGCCCAGCAGCACAGGGGCAACCCAAGCCCTTGTCTGTGCAAGTCACTGGTGGTGCTGTGAGGTTCCTTGGGCCACAGTGTCTGCTGGGTGAGTGGGGCTGCAGAGCTGCCTCCCTTTCCCGGGGTGCGGGGCAGTTCCCAGCAGGATCCTGCGGGGGATCCCCGGTGCCCTGGAGCTGCTCCAGCACCCATAAAGGCAGGCAGCGTCTGAAGTCCAGCGGGAGTTCCCTCTGCTGCCGTGATTGTGCCTGCTAGCTTGCATTGCCTTGCCTTGCTGGCTCCTCCTCTTCTCTGCTCCTGTCCTCCAGTGGGGCTGGGGGGCTCTCTGTGTCCTCCAAAGCTAACCCTCACAAAAATTACTGAATCAAGTGTTGTTTTCAGACACATCCCTTGAGCGAAGTTGGGGTGGGAGTGACATGCAGTACACAGGTTATGTATATCCTGGGCACATCCATCAGTCAGATGTAGTTAAGCAAGTAAGACGATGTGACTTGTAAAATAGGTATGTTCCTTCTGCATGCCTTTAACATGCCTGTAAGCTGTGTCTGGAAAAGAGAGGTCAGTGGTAGTAAACCCACTGGATGCATCTCACAAGGGTGAGTGGGAACACTGAATAAAGAGAGTTGCAGAAAATTATTCATTCTGCCAGAAGTACAGTAGGAAAACAGTCTTATTTCTCTGCTGTCTTGACAATTGCTCTTCTCTTTTTCTTGTCTGTCCTTCCCTTTGCATCTGCCCTCCTTTTTTTTTTTTTTTAATTTTATTTTTCCTTCTAGTGGGGAAATATTACCTTTACTTGTTAATCCTGTCTGTAGCAAAACAATCACTGAAGCAAGGAGAATTACTGTGTGATCTGGTTCTTACACACGCTGCCTACGTTCTCTTCTGTGCTCTGCATCTCATAGAAAGAAAGAGGAGCGCTGAGCCCTGCTACTGCTGCACTGGTAATGTCAAACTTCTTCATTTCAGAGCAATGCATTTCCATCATGAGTCCACTGTGTCTCCACCATGCTGTTCTTGGGTGCCTGAATGCCTCAGAGTAGGAACTGGCTGAAGTCAACGGGATGGTATTTGGAAAATGTCTAGGGTGTAACAGGAGCCAGTGGAAAACAGATACTATGCTTCGCTCTCTGCACCCCACCCCCAGCAAAATCTAAAACCTGCAGGAGAAGTAGGATCTTCCAGATAAATCTGGACTGAGGATGTGTGGCTGGGTGTGCTTTTTGTAGCACCGACCTGATGCCTTGCAAACTTGGCCTCATCACCTGAGAAGGCAGCAGGGACTCCCTCAGCAGGCATCTCCCTCAGTCCTGGGTGCTCAGATGTAGATATGAGTTTTGTTGCTCCAGTCCAGCTATGCAGCCAGACTGAAGTTTGGAAAAGAAAGAGAAGGAGAAAATTCCCTGAAAACCGTGCAGTTTTTCAACAGTTTTCCACTGGCCTCTGGCATTACGTGCAGTGTCCTCAGTAGCAATTTTCCAGAGCGTATGCGCCTGTGAGTGTGGATGGTTGAGGCATTGCACTTATTCATGTTGCTTTGCAGGGGGAATCAGGGGTATCAGGAGCCCCAGAGGTATGTGGGCAAAGGAAGGAATTGTGTCTGGCTCCTGGGTGCCCTCCCTGCAGCGGGGGAGGCGAGTTTCCCCTATGGCCACTCTCTCCAGCTGCCACATACAATGATGCTGAGGCCTCAAAACACCCTCTGGCAGAGAAACAGCAAAGTGTCTCCTGGTGTCTCTCTATGGCCTGGAAATCTGTGTCTAGCTTCTCGAGTCCACTGCAGTGTGGACTTTGGTATGGACATTGTGTATGTGGTTCAGTCTGTCTTGGACAAACCCCACCTTGGCCAGCAACCTCCCGTTGGAGGTGATGGCTCTTTCCTAGCTGCCCAGATACATGTATCCTCACCACTAAGTCCCTGACACCTGGTGAATTTAGGATGCAGGAGAGGGAGCAGCCACAGGTCGTGTGCACTGCTGTGCTGACAGCAGGAGGAATCACAGAGCTGCCTCCTACATGGAAGTGGAAGGTAGGACAAAATTGGGACAGATGGCTTCTTGCTGGTTTGCAGGCCTCTGAGCTTGAGTGATGGTTCCAAAAACCTCAGTTTTATCTGTCTGGCACTAAAAAGATGTACTGTCCTTGTTAGGTCTTGCTGAGCAAATGAGATTCAGTGATGGTAAGGGTTGGAAAGGAAAGAGCCTGGATGTTCTTTTGATCAGGCTGCTTATCTCCAGGTGTGATAAAGAATAAGACCCTGCAGGATTGAGGCAGTAGGTTGTTCCTCTTCAGCCAGCTAGAAACAGGTGCTGATCAACCAGTCAAACATGGGTTAAGTTTCAAGACAAGAGAACATAGGGAAAAAAATTTATGAAAAGAAATCACACAAACATGCTTAGTCTACGTTTTTTCTGGTTGAAAGCCTAGGAAATAAGTGTCGAGGCTATGTCTAGAACTTGCCCTCATTGTCAAAGCAGCAGTCTCTTGTGCAGTGCCTAGCTCTTCAGGATGATCCATTTTCTTGTGGCAAATAACAGGGTGCCTCCATGGGACAAGGAGCTGCCAAGCAGAGGCATGGGCTTGAAGTTTCTTCAGCTCTGCTTTATCTGCTCTGTTAGGGGTCAGCTGTGGTGCTGTGCCCTGCACTGATCTGGAAGGAACAGCAGCATAGAAAAAAGGTTTCCCAAATCAGCTGCTTTTTTCCTTTTCTTTCAAAAAGTTGGGAATCAGTCAAAGATAGGAGCCAGCAACAAGTCCCTGAGTTTTGAAGGATCTGAATCTCAGATACTACAAGCATGCCAGTGCTCAGGTACAGAAACAGAACTTTCTGCAAAAAGCAAAACCTCTTGTCAGTCTTTTTTTGCTCTGGTACAAGCAGTAAAGCTCTGCTTACCTCCCGGGACAGAAAACCAGCCTCCTGCCCTCAAAGGAGGTGCAGCTGATAACATCATTGCAAGGTTTGCTGCCTGAGCTGCTTGCTCACTGTAACGTTACTAGAAAATGGCTTGGAGAGGGGTTTTTATTTTCTTTTTTTGGTTGTGGTTTTCCTGCCTCAAGCCTTTTTGGATCCTACAGTGTTGCCTGTGCAAAGGGTTTGCCATGTTCCTGGTCCTTCTTCCCGTCCTGGGCTCTGCCAGGGTCTGCTGGGTGAGGGGTCTTGCATGCTCTTGGTCTGGTCACTGGGCTTTGGTGGTTTTTTTTAGGAGAGGCTTAAAAATGCAGCTCCTTGTGTCATTGTTAATCTCCAAGTCACCTAGAGGAGCTGGAGGCTACCTGAAGGCATGGGTTAATTACAGCTGAGCCTCTGCGGGTAACAATAGGTACAGTGCCCTTTGCCTTGAAATTTGGTTATGAAAAGAGCAGCTGAAGAGTGTGAAATGAGGACACTCTCCTAAACTAGACCCAGCAGGTGCTTTGAGGTGTGAGCACATAGCACTTTGCATCAGCACCAGGAAAAGTCCCCCTTGGGACTTCATAGCAGGCGCAGGTTTGGTGCTGTGGGACCTGACAAAAACTCAGCAGCTGGGGGGTGGAGGGGAAGAAAACCATCTGATCCCTCAGCCACTCCCCTCTCCCCAGCCTCTTTGTTCAACTTGCCTTCATTTTCTGCACTCAAGTTTCCACTGCCATTGCTTAATTATCACCTCCCCACCACCTTAGTTATTGCGTGAACCCTTTTGTTTCGGGTGAGGATGCTGAGAATCTGCTCAGATCCTCCTCCACAAATGCTCACTCCTCCCTGTGAAGCAATTTACGCCCCGGGCAAGTGATGAATGCTTTTGAAAACCTTGCTTTGACACTTGCATATTAAAACCTTCATTTGAAAGATATTTGTGGCGGTTTCAAGAATAGCTGCAGATCCATTAACCAGTCTGGATTAAACAGTTTCCAAACTGATTGTTCATTAACAGAGAATAGTCATTTGAGAGAAGGTGATTTATTTATTTTTTTTAAGTTGCTCTTCTTTGGGCACAATATTTTATCTATTCTTAATGTTTTTATGGATCCTTGATGTCCCTACTGTGTGTGGTTACTGCAGGGAGAGGGGGATGACTTCTACAGCATTGCTCCGAGGGTGGAGAGGGGCAAAGGTGGAATGTGGTAGAAGAGAAAGGCAGTCTTGGTTTCAAGGTTAGGAAAAATCTTCAGCCTCCTTCAGTGCTGCCCTAGGGGGTTGCCTTCCACCTGCCCTGTTCCCCAGCACAGGATTTGGGTTTGAAGCTGCTACTGCAAAATTGTGTTCTGGATTGGAAATCCTTACTCTCAAACCACTGATATTCTTGGATTTGTGGGTACAAGCCTGTTGTATTTTGAAAGTACTCGAGCAATTTGCAAGCCTGTACTTGTGCTCAAAGCCATGTGTGCTTTTGAAATATTTCTGCCTGAGAGAGGCTAAACTTACTTCTCCTCGGGCACCTTGTGGCTTGGGGAGGAGAGTGGAGTTTCCTGCCCCACTCTCAGCAGCTCCCTTCATTAACTGTGCCTGGGATAAACATGCCCTGCTGCTGTGTCAGCTCTTTTCAGGTCCTTCCCATCATGGTGACAGCTCTCCTGGTGGTGTTTTCCGGCGAGGCCCTGCAGGGTGGGCCAGGCCCTGCTCCAGCTGCTGGAGGAGCAGCAAGAAGGGGCTGGCACAGCAGCCGCAGCCCTTGCAGGAAGCAGCTCCCACCAGCCGCTGCTCCCCAGGCCGTGTCACAGCCACGTGCAGAACCAGCAGCACAATGTCCAGGGCCTTCCGGCCTGCATGACTGCCCAGAGCTTGGAGTGGGAGCAGGAGTGAGTGGCAGGCCTTAGCTCCTGGTGCCACCTTGAGCTTTACAAATGGACTCTGGTGTGTCCTCACACGTGCTGCTGAGTGGAGACCGTGCCATGGTCCCACAGCTGGCTCGTGGCAAAGCATAGGAAGAGGGTACAGAAAAGTTTTGGTCTGAGGTCCTTGTCCTGGCTGTAAGATAAAGGTTCTGAGGCTTCTCTGTGTCCTTCCTGCCAGAGTAGCTTGTGTCTCTTTGCTTTCTCCACTGCTCCAGAAAACCCCATCTGCTGGCCCTGGTGATCTGTAAACTTTGCCAGAAAATTTGGTCCTGAAACGTCGGTGTATGGGGTGGGATGAGGGGACTGGTTGACATCACACCTGCCTTCTTGGAGCTGAGGCACGTCCAGCCTTTCCTCAGCCATTTTGGCTGCCCCATGATTTGCAGCTGGCTTGGGTGCCATGGTCCTGCAGGCAGTGTTTGGGGAGGGGGCTGCTGCAGTGTCCCGTGGGCGCTGCGGGCGCAGTGCTCGGGCTTGAGCTCGGTCCATCACAGGCACACCAGCCCTGTGCGGGGACAGCAGCGTCCAGCGACAGGTAAGAAACTGCTGGTGTCAACTGTTAAATTTAAGTCACTTACCTGGGGTTTGTTTTGTTTGTTTCTTTTCAAATCAGGATGGAGAAGAAGAATTTAACCGAGCTAAACTGCTGAATATAGGATTCGCAGAGGCTTTGAAAGAGTATGACTATGATTGCTTTGTGTTTAGTGACGTAGACCTCATTCCAATGGATGACAGGAACACCTACAAATGTTACAGCCAGCCACGGCACCTCTCTGTATCCATGGATAAATTCGGATTTCGGTGAGACAAGTTTTGAGGGGGCATTTTGTTCCTAATGTTGCCATTAGCCTAGCAGGCCAGGCACAGCATTACACATCCCCACCCACCATTGAAAGCATGGGAAAATATCTCTGGGAAAAGCCTGTCTTGGCATGTGCATCCCTGCAGGGAGCGGGTGGCTGCAAGCAGGATGGGCTGGAGAGGAGGAAGGGGGAGAAATGCAGCTGAGCAGTTTATTAAAATTCACAGCTTCTGGAAAGTGAAGCGCAGGGCGAGGAAGAACCAAGAGCCCGTCATTCTGCAGATGCCCACGTATCTCTTCTTGTGTTTCATGCTGGAAGACAGATAGTGTTTCCACCCAGCCTGAAAAGTGAGACACTCTTGCACAGTGAGAATTTTATGCAGCTTTAAGAAGACTGCATCAGATGCTATTTTAAGAGCAAAAGAAATATTTTTGGCTGTTCAATTTTGGGCTGTTGAGGAACCTGCCCTGGTATCTGAAAGCAACAAGAAACAAAATGCCTTTCAGCAGACATTTGGGCTCAGCAGGCTGCTGCAAACAAAAATGAGTCTTGCTTCCTTCTTCTTTTTTTTTTTTTCCCTACCCCAAATCCTCAAGTGGGATTTTAAAAGTTCATCTATCAAGTGAAAACTGGTTGTGACCCTGTGGTGGCCAGTAGTGCTCAAGATACAGCAGAGGTGCTGGTGGCAGGACCCTGCATGGTTCCAGTCCAGATCCAGACCCTGTTTGGAAGAGAACCTGCAGCAGCTGCAGATTTTCTTGCCATGAGGTGAAATTTAGAGTAGAAATGGAGGCCCCAGGAGTTTCTTCTTATGGAAGCAGAGGCAAGGTTTGTGATAGATCCTGGTAATCCCTGCATGAGCCCTTTCCTGGTACTGTGGGTCTGAATTTCACCTGTCTCCCATCCCCTGGTGACTTGTGCCCTGTTTAGTGCTGGAGCTGGTCGTCTTTGTGCATGCAAGGTCATGGTGCCAGCTCAGTTTCAGGCTGTCACCTTTCCTTTGGGGCAGTGGAGAGTTAAGAGGCGAGCAGTGGAGCTGCAGGGAGAGAAGGCTAGAAGGCTCTGTGGCACCTCCAGCACCTCACTGTGTTCTTGCTGCTCCCAGGGCATGCATATCACCCATCTGTCCTTTGGCAAGTTGATGTGCAGCTCACCCTCCTGTCTCCTAATGTTAGTGAAAGGCTGCAGCTATTACCAGTTGCAAAATACTTCCCAGCTGTATTTGGGACTGAGCCCACCAGCTCCCACTGCCTTGCACAAGTCCAGGGCACCAAAACTTGTGCTGTAGGAAGGTACCTTGTGACAGGTGCTGACTTGCTGTGGGCTGGGATGCAGGGCAGCACCAGCCCCTCTTCAGGTAGCCAGGTTGCTCCTCAGCTAGTACCTCTCCTCCTCTAATGGCCTTTTCTCCCTGTGTCCAGGTTGCCTTACAATCAGTATTTTGGAGGTGTGTCTGCCTTGAGCAAAGAGCAGTTCACAAAGATCAACGGTTTCCCAAACAATTACTGGGGCTGGGGTGGCGAAGATGATGACATTTACAACAGGTAAATAAATAACCTCCCTTGCCACCCAAAGTGCTTCCAGTGTGGGGAGGAGCAGAGACCTGCTGCTCTCACCTGGGTGTTAGAGGGTGCAGGGTGTCTTTCCACCTGCTGGAGCCTTTCCTCGAGGAATGGAGGAGGTGCATGGGCAGCTTTCAGGCTCAGTGAAAGCAGGTTCCTGCTGGGTGCTGGCACCCCATTTCACAGCTCCCACGGAGTGCTGGGGGGCGGGTCTGGCAGGAAAAATCCCACCCCTGTCCCACACACACGTTGCTTGTTTGCTGCACAGCCCTGCAAGCTCCGAGGCTGGTGTATGAGTTGGAGCAGCACACTTCTGGGTCTTCCAGCACTGGCCAAAGGAAGGGAGTCTGGGGCACACAAAGGGGTGGAAAAAGAGTTTGACCAACATAGCCCTAGGCTTGTCTGGGTCTGCAGCCTGGTAGCAGATCCCTTTGTTCCCAGGAGAACTTAATTTGCCAGGCTGTAGTGGCTGGGGGGGGGGGGCAAAGCTCAGACCTGCAGGAGAGGAGGACAGTGTTTGCACAGGGTGGGCTGGGAAGGACCACCCCTGCCTGAAAACTGGGGCACAGGGTGGGTGTGGGGTTGTGCTACATTATGGCTTCATGCCCCCAGGGCAGTTGCTGTGAGAAATCATACCGAGGACATCAGATTTGGGAAACCCTCTTGATGCTTTTCGATGGGAAAACCACTCTGCATGGTTTCTTCTCCGGGCTTTTCGAGCTCTCTGGGCTTCAGGAGGGGTCTTCCTAAAATAGCTTGTGCCTTACTGAGGTTTAGCACTTTTTTTTTTTTTAATAAAACCAAGCAAGGGACAGGATTCCAGTGGAGGGCATTCACAACAAGGTGATAGTCCTCTTTTTTTGGGGGCAGTCAGGTTTTGAGAAGCAGAAGATGTTATCTAAAAATGGAAAGGGGGACACAAAGAGGAAGAAACCAAGTAATTTTTTCAGCATTGGTGTCCATGAACTGCCAAGTGCCTTGCAGAGAGCTTGCAAACCAAGACAGGCTGGCCATTGCCCTGCAGGTCCCAGGTGGGACCAAGCATGTTCCCCCATGGCCCTTCACTACCATTCCCTTCAGTTCCTACCAGCACTTGCAGCTTTCACATCCCCCCCAAAAGTAATGCTCTTCTGGCTGCTTTTCAGGTGGGTTAAAAAACTAATGACTCCCATTCAAATTCCAGTCTACAGCCTGGGGCAAGGTTAATGCAGACATTGGGTGTGTTGTGCAGGTGAGGGTGGGGTGAATTTGCAGATCCTTGGTGTTGGCACGGGGACTCCCCTTCTTTTCCCTGTGCTGACATGCTAGTGTGGAAGGGGGTTTGCTTTTTCCACTGTTTCTGTTTCAGCAAGCCTGCAAAAACGCACGAGAGATTAAAAAAAAGGCAATCCCCCCCAGACCAGTCCTAATTTGTGGAAGGTGTGGTAGAGTATCCCACATCCGCCACCACTCACAGCTGTGCAATGTACTCGGTTTTTACAGGCTGGGGTTTTAAAGGACGGGGGGATT